CTGGCTGCCATACCATGCCGTACCATACTGTCAGGCTGCCTCCCTGCAGCCACGTCACCTCTTCCCTGTGACCTGACCATGGACTGGCAGTACTGCCACTCCTCTGCCTTTCCATTCCTCCCAGCGAGGGAAGGCTGGTGGCAGCAGGGGTTACCCACGTCCAGAGCCACGTCACCTCCGTGACAAGAGCACTGCCCATATCTGACACTAATTTATCTTTATTTCATTGAACCCTGCCACTGCAGGTCTGAGTGCAGAAGGGAAGGCAATATCCTAGTTTTGGAACATGGCCAAGATCATGTCTTTCTGGAGAGCCCTGAGAAAGCTACGTATTTCTTTCTCTGGTAGATGGAGATCTGAGTGTTGGAGAAGGCAGGGTCAGGATAGCATCCACACGTAGTTCTCTGTCTCTTGCCTGGACCCAAACTTTTGCAGGATTTTTGCAGGGCAAAGCACTGTCTGGATAATAGTAACTGCATCAACGTACTCCTGGTCTTTCGGGACACCTTTCTAAACCTCTCTAGTTTGACTTTCTGTCTTGAAAACACTACAAAATAACCTTTTCCCTCGCTCTTTCTTTCTGGGACAGAAAGGGAGACGAGCAGCAAGATAACAGTATTTACAAAAGACAAAGCTAGGAGGGCAAAACCCTGAAAAGGCCACAGAACTTCCCATCTGGATCAGGCTGCTGGAAGAGCCTGCTGAGGAGTGCTACCCAGGACTGGTGCTCTGCAACTCACAGCATTTAATTCTGAAACAAAGTACAAAAGCACATACCTGTACCGCTCCTCCTGCAGAGTCTGCATTATTAGTGAGTAATCCCTCTGATAGCGAACCTTAAGGTCCTCAAAGGATTCTTCCAGTCTTGCCTGTGTCTCTCGGATTTCTTGAATCTCATGCAGTATTGCATCAAACCCTGAGCTCTGCATATCCAGAGTGTTTGTTTTGGAGCTAGAAGCTCCCACAGGGCCCCCTGTCGTGCTGTTGGCTCCCACTGAGCCTGATGTGGCACTGGAGCAATCCTCTTCACTGCCATATTTTGGGCTTGACTGAAAGTTCTGAATAACACCTAGAGCCTTGCTGCCTGTCCCATCTTCCTGGCCTTCTTCTAAGGAGTCTTTCAGATTAGCAATATTGTCTGCACTCCCAAACTTGTTCCTTATGAGGGAGGCAATCTCCCGGGGCTTGGAAACCACGGCTCCTGCTGCTGAATGTGTGGCTTGGGAGAAACTGGAAAGTCCACCTTTTACGCTGTCTACTACTCCCTCACTGAAGCCAGTGACTTTTGCTCCAACATCTTTCAAACCCTGATGCATATCCCTGAAGACGTCCTTCGGCTGCCGAGGGATCCCATTCTGTTCAATCTCTCGCAGCTTTCGATGGTAATGTTCTAGTTTCTTCTGCAGCTGCAAGATGGTCTGGGCTGACTTTTGATTTTTCTTCTCAAACACTTGCTTAATGCGGGCACTCTGCTGCTTGTCTGCGTTGTTGGCCAGTTTCAGGTACTCCGCCACATTGTCATCGCGGGCTGTTTGTTCGATTTTGATCTGCTCGGTCAGCTTCAGTATCTTCTGTTGCAGGTGCGTGATGGCCACTTTTGTACGCTGAGGATCTGGGGTCCCATCAACGGAGTCCGCATTGATGCTGCCATCAGTGCTCGAGGCCACTGCACTGGAGGTCTGCGCTAAGCTGCTGACTTCCAATCGCTCGATCTAGGCAAGGAGAGAGAGAAATATAAGCGCTAATCACCAGCTTCACTAACATAAAACCTTTCCTTCTTTGTGCCAGCCAACTTGACAAGTGGACGTAGTTCTGCAAAAATGCAACTTTCAGCTGGCCGTGGTACGGTATCAACTGAGCTTCGTGTGCTTTACAGACATCTAGCAAAAGCTGAGGAAGAAGCAAACCCCCTTGTACCTCAGCCAACTGAATGGCCTCAACAAGCAAAGCCTCAAGCACAAAGCAAGGCAGGGCACCCAAGTTTCTCTGACCGACCAGCGTAAGGCCAGTAGCTCGATCAGCTGGCGAGCAGAAAGACTGAGAAGGTAACGGCAAAAGAGCAAACGCCACACAGATCAAGTATGCAGCAAACCCAAGTTACTCCCAGAGCTTCGCCCGTTTGTACAAAAGCAAGCAAACCCGAAGTTTACCAGAAAACAAGAGGTCTGCTGAGGCCAGTGCCAGGCGCAGGAACAGCCCTTCAGGCCCCCGAGAACGCCCTGCCCCGCGCCAAACCCTGTGAGCAGGGGCCTCCGCGCAGGAGAGCGGGCAGCAAGCGTCGGGGAGCACAGCCCGCTCTGAGCCCAAACCCCGAACCCCAAGGTTTCGGGCACGCCCACGCAAAGGGACCACGCGAAGAAACCGCA